TGAAATAAAATAATATCTTTTTAAGTTTTATTTAATGTTTAAAATGTAAATCCAATTAGATCCACTTTCTTTGGTAAATAAAGCAAGTTTGTCATATAATATATCTTGTAAAAGACAGAAAATATTACTGTACAAACTGCATTATACATAAATCAGATGAACATTTTCACATTAGTCAATAATAATACTAAAATTAATAAAAATTTTAAACTTTGTAAATATAATTATTTTGTTATTATTATTATTATTATTATTATTAATAATAATAATAATAATAATAATGACAATGTTATTATTTTGATTATGTAATGATGATAATGGTTAGTATTATTATTTATGTTATTATTAGTGTTGTTGTTATTAATTTTATTATTATTTTATTATTATTATTTTATTATTAATGTTTTTGTAATTGATTTTAATAATAATGAAAATGTTATTATTTTGATTATGTGATAATGATAATAATAATTTAGATACCATTACCAAACTAAAGATAATGAACTGATTCTTTCACTATATTAGACTTGTCAACAATACAAAATTTCGGTACTGAAATGTAAAAAACCTGTCAATTTCTGGTTAACATTTAAGCACTGTTGTTTACCTGCTCAACAGAAATGACTGTGATTGGCCATGAAGATCATCAGTTCCGCACTTCACCAATGTTTACTGAGCGCAAACACAGACGAGCGTTCCTCGACTGATCTTAGTTTTGTAGACTGTGTTTGTAGTCCGTGAAGAGCGGTATACTGATGACCTTCACAGTCATTTCTTTTGAGCACTGGCAAATCTGTCGGCTTTATAATCGCAATCAACGGTGATTGTTCACAGGAAATGGACGTTTTTAAAACTTCAGTAACAGTACAGCACTATTACAGACAACACGAGGGTGTGCTAGAGAGGACTGCATCGTTTTATTACTCACCGGGTTACATAGGCTGAAGCAGGAAAGTGTCTCCACCGTTTTTACCTGGTCTCATACCAGGATGGTCAACCAGCTAAAACCAGCCAACCAGCCTAGGCTGGTTTAAGCTGGATTTTTCAGTAGGGATGGCACCAGGTAAAAACCGTGGAGACACTTTCCTGCTTCAGCACATGTAACCCGGTGAGTGATAAAACGATGCAGTCCTCTCTAGCACACCCTCGTGTTGTCTGTAATAGTGCTGTACTGTTACTGAAGTTTTAAAAACGTCCATTTCCTGCGAACAATTTAGCACCGTTGATTGCGATTATAAAGCCGACAGATTTGCCAGTGCTCAAAAGAAATGACTGTGAAGGTCATCAGTATACCGTTCTTCACAGACTACAAACACAGTCCACAAAACTAAGATCAGTCGAGGAACGCTCGTCTGTGTTTGCGCTCAGTAAACATTGGTGAAGTGCGGAACTGATGATCTTCATGGCCAATCACAGTCATTTCTGTTGAGCAGGTAAACAACAGTGCTTAAATGTTAGCCGGAAATTGACAGATTTTTTACATTTCAGTACTGAAATTTTGTATTGTTGACAAGTCTAATATAGTGAAAGAATCAGTTCATTATCTTTAGTTTGGTAATGGTATCTAAATTATTATTATCATTATCACATAATCAAATTAATAACATTTTTATTATTATTAAAATCAATTACAAAAACATTAATAATAAAATAATAATAATAAAATAATAATAAAATTAATTAATTAATTAATTAATAAAATTAATAACAACAACACTAATAATAACATAAATAATAATAATAACCATTATCATCATTACATAATCAAAATAATAACATTGTCATTATTATTATTATTATTATTATTATTATTATTATTATTATTAATAATAATAATAATAATAATAACAAAATAATTAAATTTACAAAGTTTAAAATTTTTATTAATTTTAGTATTATTATTGACTAATGTGAAAATGTTCATCTGAGTTATGTATAATGCAGCTTGTACAGTAATATTTTCTGTCTTTTACAAGATATATTACGGTATATAACAAACTTGCTTTATTTACCAAAGAAAGTGGATCTAATTGGATTTGCATTTTAAGCATTAAATAAAACTTAAAAAGATATTATTTTATTTCATTTGGTAATGGTATATTAAATATGTGTTTGGGAAAGAAAACGTTAGCTAACTAGTGCCATTTCCCTTAACTTAGCTGAAAACGAGCTCTGATATCCAACACGGGCTCATTGTGGAAACGCAGCCCTGCGGATGTTTCTGTGGACCGTGAGATTCGTCCTGCGAGGTACGTATTTGAGCGTTTTTTGTTTTCGCGGATCCGCGGGAGGCCGCTGTGCGCGCTTTATTGTGTCTCGGGCGCCTCTCGGGAGCGCGCGCCGTTCGCGCCCGCGCTGTTCTCGCGACCCCGGCCGACCCAGCCGCCCTCCTCTTCCTCCTCCTCCTTCCCTAAACCCAAGCAACGGTTTGAAAAAGCCAATCAGAAAAAAAAAAAGCAAAAGCCCTCGACTTCGATTTTCGGATCCCGCCACGTTCTCGCCCTCATTTTTCAGATTTTGTTTTTCATCTTACCTAATTTCTGGAACCACTGTTCCCCGGACTCGATCCCGTCGTCCCCACGGCCGGCTCCTCCTCCTCCAGGGCCTCCGCTCCGCCGACGCAACGCTGTGAGCTAAGCGAACAAACTGGTTGCATCAGGAAAGCCCTCCACTCGGAGGCGAGCCGGCGGCCGGCAAGCGCGAAGAGGAGGAGCGGAGCGGAGCGGCGCCACACCGCCCCGCAGCGTTCACTCGAAAAAAACTAAACGCGGCCGTACATACCTCCGGCCACGTAAATCGCGGCCTCCAGAAACGTCCGCGGGGCTACGTTTCCAGAATGAGCTTGGGTTGCTGATATCCCTTTTTCATTTCACTATTCATTCAGAACGGACCTTCGGGTCACTCGGAAGGCGGTGAAATTATAAATTTGTGACACTTTTTATTCGCTGAAAAGATATACTGCCAGGTACACAACATTCCTGTGTGACTCAGCCGGGTTTCGTCTCTATTTCACTGTTTAAAATGGTGGCCGTGTAAAATCAGTCTAAAGACAGGTTAAGCTGCGGTCACACTAGAGTTTAAGCTTGCAAAATTCTGTCGTACAGCGCTGCAATAGAGGACAGAATTAAACAAGATGATCAGACATTTAAAAAAGCGAGCGATTGCTCCATATGTTAAATTTCTATAAAGAGATGTCATGTTTTGATCCTCGATTGGTCTCAGGCAGTCAAGTGATGCGATTTCGCAGGTCAGAGGTCACCAAGTTTGAACTCTGCAATGCAGCGAACTGAGAAACTTGTCGCTCGAGCTTGCGTTTTCAGTCTGATGCATTCGCATGCGTATGAATGGAAGTCTATGAGGAGAAAAGTGCAGTGTGACCGCAGCCTAAGCCAGTAGCTAATATCATGAATTGATACCTACACATAAGTGTTACTGAAAGTAAATTGTGAAATCTGTGTGTTATACCTGGTCTGTAAAGCGCAGCAGCAGCAGCAGAAGATGGAGTGTATGGACTGATCTACAGGACAGAAAACAGAAGCACAAACAAATTCATGTATAAGGCACACAACTGAGATCACTACAGATTTAGTTTTGTATTTCAACATGTTTTTTTTTTCATGTACACTAGAGCCTTGATCACACTGATTGGGTTTTTTGTGATGAGAGGTGTCTTTTTAAAATTGTTTTCTAATGGCCGTGAGCGTTCCTGCACATCTCAAGTTTTTGCCATCATTTTGTGCTCCTGATTTTTTATTATTATTATTTTTTTTAAATAAACAATGACAACAAATTTAATACAAAATTATATCACAGATCATTTCAAATGCTCAGGGGAGACACTCAGGGGAGATAATTTCACAGAAATACATGACTTTGATAATTTTGAGTGACTTGATATTTCTTCGATATTTCTTCCTCTTGAAGAAGAGCAACCTGGATAACACCCTATTGAGCAATTACAGGCCAATCTCAAATCTCCCTTTCATTGGCAAAATCATTGAAAAAGTTGTTTTTAACCAGGTTAACAAGTTCTTAAACTTCAGGGGGTGTTTAGACAATTTTCAATCTGGTTTCAGATCACATCACAGTACAGAGAGCGCTCTTATAAAGATAATCAATGATATACGCCTAAATACAGATTCAGGTAAAATAACAGTGCTGGTATTGTTGGATCTCAGTGCTGCATCTGACACTGTCGATCACAGCATACTTCTGGATAGGCTGAAAAACTGGGTTGGGCTGTCTGGCACGGTCCTCAAATGGTTTAGATCTTACCTTGAAGGGAGAGGTTACCATGTCAGTATAGGTGACCATAGGTCGAGGTGGACACCCATGACATGTGGAGTCCCACAAGGCTCGATTCTGGCACCTCTCCTGTTCAACCTTTACATGCTCCCTCTAAGCCAAATAATGAGAAAGAACCAAATCTCCTACCACAGCTATGCTGATGACACTCAGATCTACCTAGCCTTAGTGCCTAATGACTACAGCCCCATTGACACCCTCTGCCAATGCATTGATGAAATGAGCAATTGGATGTGCCAAAACTTTCTTCAGTTAAACAAAGAGAAAACTGAAATGATTGCGTTTGGGAACAGAGATGAGGTTCTCAAGGTAAATGCGTACCTTGGCACTAAAGGTCAAACGACAAAAAATAAGGTCAAGAATCTTGGTGTGACTCTTGAGTCAGATCTGAGTTTCAACAGTCATGTCAAAGCAGTCAGTAAATCAGCATACTATCATCTCAAAAACATAGCAAGAATCAGATGCTTTGTTTCCAGTGAAGACTTAGAGAAACTTGTTCATGCTTTTATCAGCAGCAGGGTGGATTACTGTAATGGACTCCTCACTGGTCTTCCCAAAAAGACAGTCAGACACTTGCAGCTCATCCAGAACGTTGCAGCCAGAATTCTAACAAGAACCAGAAAATCAGAGCACATCACACCTGTCCTCGGGTCTCTACACTGGCTCCCAGTTACATTCAGAATAGATTTTAAAGTATTATTACTGGTCTATAAATCACTAAATGGCCTAGGACCTAAATACATCACAGATATGCTCACTGAATACAAACCTAACAGATCACTCAGATCATTAGGATCATATAAACTAGAAGTTCCAAGAGTTCAGTCAAAGCAGGGTGAATCGGCTTTTAGCCACTATGCCCCTCACTGCTGGAATCAGCTTCCAGAAATGATCAGATGTGCTCCAACATTAGGCACATTCAAATCAAGACTGAAAACACATCTGTTTAGCTGTGCCTTTACTGAATGAGCACTGTGCTGCGTCCGACAGATTGCACTATCATGTTTTTCTCTTCTTCTTCATTCTTTTATATCACATTTTACCTGTTTTTATGTTTTGTTTTGTTTTTACGCATTTTTATTATTTGTTTTTATTTTTATTTTACTTGTTTCTTTTATTCTTGTTTATGTAAAGCACTTTGAATTGCCATTGTGTATGAAATGTGCTATATAAATAAACTTGCCTTGCCTTGCCTTGCCTTCGAGGGCAATATTGATTCAATATAATACTTTGTTTCATTTTTAAATGCTATAAAACATATTTTTCCTCGTAAAGTTACATTTATGAATGTGAAATTTGGCTATTAAAAAAATAAAAAATTGTGGTTTTGTTTCAATTTTAACTAAATCCTAAAAGAACGTCTTTCCAATGTAAAATATTCAGTCATTTATTCATTTTCCTCCAGCGTAGTCCCTTTATTCAATATTCATCAGGGGTCGACACAGCGGAATGAACCGCCAACTATTCCAGCATATGTTTTATACAGCGCATGCCCTTTCAGCTGCAACCCAGCATTGGGAAACACACACACACACACACACACACACACTAATGCAAATTTAGTTGATCAGTTCCCCTATAGCACATGTGTTTGGACTGTGGGGGAAACCGGAGCATCCGGAGGAAACCCACGCCAACACGGGGAGAACATGCAAACTCCACACAGAAATCTAAAACAAATTTTTTTCTAATGTTCTGTTGTGTTGACTCGGGTGTGTTTGATTACGGAGAGTTGGGAAATGTGTACTGTTGGTGTGTCTTCAGGAATGGGGTTGGGAAACACTGGTCTGCACTACAGTCAATCCTTTCACTGGCGGATTTAGGCATGGGCAATATGTGCGATCGCACAGGGCGGCATCTTGTTAGGGGCGGCATGGAGACACAATATAAACGTGAAATAAAATGATCAGTGTCTTCTCATGATCGAGTGTATTAACGATACCGGACACATCACAGGAAACACACATGCGTGGCAGAAACACGACACCTTCAGCATCTCTGAGCTTCGGAGTGTGTGAGCAGAGCGATTCTCAAGAAACAATGACCACCTGCACAAACCACACACACTTCCTGTCAACACACACACACACACACACGGACATCACACACATGCTTGCGCACACACACCCACCCACACACACGGACATCAAACACATGCACACAGACACACACACACACACACACATTTCAAACATGCATGCACACACACACACAGACTTGACACACTTGCAAGCATGTATGCACACACACTGTTTAAAACAAACTCTATAAAATACGCTTATAAAACTCTCTTTCTAAAACACACAGTCTTTGAAACAAACACACACACACACACACACACACACACACACCCTCTCTCTCTCTCTCTCTTTTCTCCTCTACTCATCCACCAACAAAAGCACACACACACACACACACACACACACACACACACACACACACACACACACACACACACACACACACACACACACACACACACACACACACACACACACACACACTCATAACCCCCCCCACACACACACACTTTCTCTTTAATATATTTGTAATACGATCCACTTTGGCAATTATTTTCTTAATTTTTTTTTGTAATTCAAAATTTTTTGATGATTATTTTATCGAAATATTTTCTTTATATTATAAACTATACCATTCAAAAGCTTGGAGTCAGGTTTGTTTGTTCGGTCATTCATTTATTTATTCAGTCATTTATTTATTTAATAAATTAATTATTTATACATTTATAATGTCACTAAAGATTTCTAATTCAGATGAATGCTGCTTTTCTCAACTTTCTATTCATTAAAGAAAGCCGGAAAAAAACTACTATTACTACTATGTTAAAAATAATAGCAACATTAATAATAAAATAACCATCCTTATCACATAATCATAACAACAATGTCAATATTGTCATTATTATTATTATTATTATTATTATTATTATTATTAAGAA